CCGTTGGATTTGGTGCTCCCGGGATCACAGCAGATGCACCATAGCGTTCATGCTTTGGGCGATGAATGCTTCGCTCAAGGCTTAGGACCCTGGCCCCTGTTTAGGTTAAGGTTTGGTAATAGGAACTTGGCATCACTAGAGTCATTATTTATGCAAATCACTAAATGTTATCAATGTGCAAAGCTGCTCGTTTAGTGCCAGCCTAGGCAGCCTTTTTTTTAATTTGCTTTAAATTTAAAGACAATTCCATGTTGTCTGGCATCTCCTAGTCATTAATAAACCCTTTATAAATAGTTTCCAAGTCTCAAGGACCCCAGTGTTGGGGGAAAGGCATGTTGTTAGCAACGAGAAAGTATTCAGGGGAGACTGCAGGGCCAGAGAAGGAAGAGGTTTAAGGTAACCAGTTGTGGCTGGTCACTGCCATTGCCTCGGTTACCATCCGAGGGGCTTAACAGGCAAAGTTCATGTTGGAATTGGGGCTGCAGTGTCCAGAGGTTTTCACAAAAGCGGTTGGAAGGGACCTCAAAGACCCCCAGTCCCACCCCCTGCCATGGGCAGGGACACCTTCCACTAGACCAGGTTGCTCCAAGCCTCATCCAGCCTGGCCTTGGACCCTCCCAGGGATGGGGCCAGCTTCTCTGGGCAACCTGTCCCAGTGCTCCCCACCCTCTGCAGGAAGAATCTTATCCAATCTAAACCTCCCCACTTTCAATTTAAACCCATTACCCCTTGTCCGTCCCCGCCCTGCCCTTGGAAAACGTCCCCCCCAGCTTCCTTGTAGCCCCCCCAGGCACTGGAAGGTATTTTGCAATTCCCAGTTGCAGCCATCAGCATGTAAACACTTCAGTTACATGGGAAAATCCCTCTGGATTGATGCATTTGTAACATGACAGCAAAATCATGAGACTGTCGTGTTGTTTAGGTTAAGACTCGGGAGGACCTGGAAAAGAGACAAAGGGAAGTGCAGAACACAGCAACGTTGCTTAAATGGGAGACGGAAGATGAAATCAGGATGGGATTTAAGTCTTCAAGCCCATCTTCTCTGGGACCATTGGAATACTTGGAAGCAGCTTCTGAAGTAAAGGGAAGCCTGCAGTGGGAACCTGAGAGCTTAGAGGAGACGGAGCTGTTGGCTGACATGAGGCTCCTCTCGCTGGAAGAAAAGCTGAATTTTTCAAAAGCCATAACGGTAAAATGCACTCCGAGCGCTGCTCATGCAAGAGCCGAGCGTGTCCAATCGGTACCGTTGGCCGTAACCTTCCGTTGCTGAGTGTGTGGCTGTTTCCCGCAGGATGAACAGTGGCGGGGAGAGGCCGTCCGAGAGAAACTGCAGCACCACGAAGATTGGCTGAAGGTGGCACATCCCCTCCCAGTCCCACCGACGTGTCCCTCGGGTCCCTCCTAAATACGGCCCAACCGCCCCAGGGGCGCGGGGTCCTCCCCCAGCCCTGGGGTACCCGCTCCCTGCACAGGGCCTGCCTCCAGCCTGGCGTTGGGTGGGAAGGGTGCAGGACAGCTGAGCAGCTGCGTGCTGCGGCGACTGTGATTTTAACTAATTACCAGTTCAGGGGATTTTGGAGCCTTCCAGCGCGATTCCCCCCTTTCCATCATCCTGCGGGACGTTGCACGCGTCATGCTGCCAGGAGCAGCCGCGATCGCTTTGCATGCAGGTGCCAGGGGGTAGAGCTTGTGGCTGGCTGGGAGGAGGCCAACTCCGTGCCTGTAACTTGCAAACTCTCTGCCATCTGCTTTGGGGTTTGAGCCTCTGCCGTCGTGTCCCTTAGGGCTGGGCCTTAAGGTCCTGGGGCTCTTTAACCAGCCCTGACATCCAGGCCGTGGAAGCACTGATAGAACCAATGGTGTGCCTAGGCTCAGCTCCGGCAGTGCATGGCCAAGCAGGTGGAAGTGTTGCTCAGAGGAAAGCGGCAAACGGAGGGCACCCTTCACAGCCTGAAGCGGCAGGTGGATGCGCTGGACGACCTCGTCAGCAGCACGTCCTCGGATTCGCAGTTCCTAGCCCAGAGCTCAGGTCTGGGCTCTCCTCCCGATGCTGTGAATTTAACGAAGCCACAGGTAACGCGGCAGGTGGCTGGACGACCTCGTCAGCAGCACGTCCTCGGATTCGCAGTTCCTAGCCCAGAGCTCAGGTCTGGGCTCTCCTCCCGATGCTGTGAATTTAACGAAGCCACAGGTAACGCTCCGCTCTCCACGGGCGTTCCGGGTCGGGGGCACGTGGGCGTTCTGGGCTGACTTGTGCCGTTACAGCCGTACGCTCACCGTGGTGGAGGCGCTGCAGGCGTTTTCCGACGGGGGGATCGTGCTGGCATGGTCACTCTGGCAGTAGTGAATGTGTTTGAAAAGGGCAAGTTTTCCTCAGAGTTGTTGTTTTGTGGTTTGTTTGGGTTTTTTTCACTTTGCCTTAGCTTTTTATTCTTTAAAATCCAGGTTTTTCTTTGCTTTTTGACGATTAGTGCGCCCTACCCGCTGAAGACCTTACTCAGCCTTGCACTGCTTTCCTAGGCGCCTCTGACCAGGCTCGCACACGGCCCCACCAGGCGGGCAGCTCGTCCCGTGGCACCTCGGACAACGCAGTCCTGCCCGCAAGGAGTTTCCCGCTGAAGCCCAGAGGTGAGCTGCAGCCTCGCGGAGCTTCCTGCCCAGCGCGAGCGCCATGGGGGCCGGTGGCTGTAGTGGTGGTAGCCCAAGGCGGGGGGGTGGGC